TTCGATTTTACTTTATTAGTACGATAAGTACGGAAATCAGTAGTACTATAACATAGGCATTGGCGTACTTCTGGGCCACGCGTCATGACTCAAGCCGCGCACGATCGCTGCCCCGCCGCGCATGTTTTCGTTAGGACAAGCGGACGAGTTTTCCGGCTGCGCGCGCTTTTCGTAAACGAATTTGAAATGGGGGGCACGCGGAAGGCGACAACTGGCGAAAAATGGAGGCTGTGTATCGTCCGTCTCAATGACTTTCACGGATTTCTACTTGTGGCATTGAGTAATGTATCTGCCCCCCCCACCCCCGTAGTCCCCCGAAGTGTCACTTTGACGCCGGAGAGTTTTTGATAGGCACAAATTTGGGAATTGTCGCCTTCCGCACCACACCCATTTGAAATTGTGTTGCAATATGTCAACTACCTAGCGCTCAACTATTGTCGTTTGTGGACATCTTTGATTCTACTTACATCGCAAAATGTTACTTTGACTTTACTTTTCTTGGTGAAGAGTCTCAGACCAAACTTCTTTGTTAAGACCTACTTTCTTGGTCTTCAAAACCATATCGACAATATGACCGATAAAACTATCGTTTTTTTTTGAGTTTTCTTTCATGAACCTTAACTATTCTTTTATTGACGCCTTTTTCATCCCACATTGGTTTTTCAGTGAACAAAAGATATCTTCATCTACTATATTGTTCACAACGTGCTTTCTTTTCATTCTTTTTGAAAATCTTATATTTGCAGAAGTCTTCTTCTTCTTCTCGTCTCATAATTCGGCTAGAAGACGTCTCACAATTCGGCCAGAAGATTGAGTGAACGACAAAAATTGGACGGAGGTCATGAAAGCCGAAGAAATCATGAAATTGTGAGTCTCACAAACCGTTTTAAAGATAATTTTATGTGGTTTTGGATAATCTCGGATCAATTACAATACCGCTCACAGAATGTGCAAAATTTCCGAGAATGTCGCGAAAACCCCGGAATTCCGCGAAGGACCGCGAAATTTTCGGAATTTCGCGACATTCCGGGAATGTCGCGAAATTTTCGGAATATCGCGACATTTCCGGAATTTCGCGACATTCCGGGAATTTCGCGGAATTTTCGGAATATCGCCATAACTTCCTTCGGAATGCATGAATTCTGGATCTGAAACAAGAGTTATACTCAGCTCATTAAGGCGAATCTTTTGGTACCTTGCCCTACCGTAATTCTCGGGGCACGATTGGTGCACGATCTGAAATGAATTTTGCACACATTCACGGAAATTTTGCACATTCTGTGAGCGGTATTGTATCTGTCACCCAGAATTCCTCTGTTCAACTTTTGTTTTGTGTGATGTTTGTTTCAAAAGGAACTTGTTCATCACGAGCTGAAAGCAGTGTGTTTGCGCGTCACCTTTCTTTGATCGTCATAAAAGTGCATTAAATAGAACTTGGTCTGCTTATCTTTTGAACGTAGACCGAAAGTTGAGCTAATGCGTTCGAATTTGGTTCTTGTATCACGAGAGCTTTCAGTTGTTTTTTGGATATGCTTAAACGAAGGTTTTTTTGCTGATTTTCTTCGTCTTTTAATTATCTGCGTTAAGTAAGCGAGTCTAAGTCTCTGAGCGTAAAAACGATGAATTTTACGTTGATGTTCAACCACAGTCCTTGTCTCAAAAAACTGCCTGCCTTTTCTGCGTGCGTATGTTCCAAATTGTTTCTGCCTTCACAAGATTTCGTCATCTTTTGTCTCAGTGCGGTCATCTAACGAAACTTTGGCTGTCAGCCGCGATGTTTTGTACAGTTAAGTCTTTCAGGACAGGATACTTTATGTAAATGATCAGTTGGATAGAAAGGAAGAGACCAGTAGTCGGCCATAGAATCGTCTGAGCGATTCGCTTCCTCCTATGCTGATGAAGAAAAAGCTGAAAAAGTATCTTGTAAGTACTGAGGAACCAATCCACTCGCATGTATAACATGGTTTGCATTTTCATTGCAGTGCTGTGGTTGGAGTGTCCCAAACAAGGATGACTCTGTAATTTCTCTCCACGATGCTATACTTGACAATTAAACTATTTATTCTGATTGAGCTATAAAAATATGCACAGCATAGATTCAAGCAATTATTGAAAATAAACAAGGAAAAGCAATGTGGGATTCTTTGAAGATGATCCTAGTTAGTTTTTTCACTGATGAATTGTGACATTTTTCGGCAATATCTAAAAATGTATCTAGATACCGAGAATCATTTGAAAATTTCAGTACCTGATTAACTGAGAGGTAGTAACAATTTTGTTTTCCATTGTTTTTTTGAATCTATCCATATGCTGCATGATTTTGTCCTTTCTCATTTGCTATCTTTTTACACGGAATTTCGGAGTACTTAGCTGAAACAAACGCCTGTATCATTCATTCGAAGTTCATAAAATGATACCTGTTCTGCAGAAATAAGGTTGGCCATCGCGTTCTTATTTTCTTCTTTTAGCCTTTCTAAAACGGCCTCAAAGTTTGAGTTTTGTCGTGAAAAAAATCTTCGCAGCTTACTGAATAGCTCTTTCATCGTGTTTATTGGGAACAAAAATTCTACTAACCTATGATAGGCTTCTGCCAGATTTGTCGTTCTTAGGCTCGATATCCCCCATTTGCACCAATACTTCCGGTAAGATTCCTTCATCCATGTGTTGAAGAGGTAGTCTAGGAACTGTGCACATGCCTCATATGCTGGATGGTCGACTGGGACGGTTGGTCTGTATAAGCCAGGGATTCTCCGTAAATATTTCTCAGGCAGGAACGGTATGCCTCTTATTGTGCGGTACCACTTTCTAACTTTCCGGCAGAAATATCTTCCCTTTACATACTTCGTCAAACCTAGCGCATTTCTGCGTTTGTTCCAGGCTTGACTCAGGTGGAAGAGACAGCCTTCGATAGATGAATTACAAAACTGCTCTTCTGCAGCCTTTATTGCGGCTGCCTCAAAGTCCAAAATAATCTTGGTGGCTGCATGTTGGGGTCGATGGATTCTAATTCCTGCCGCATTCTCGCAAAAACCAAGTCGTAAGTTTCCTGCAACTTATTGCGCATGAAAGCGTAGAATAGTGGGAACTGAAAAAATCTGTGTAAACATTTGTATATCTCTAGACCAATCTCTACTTCCTAACTTGATGCTCGTTTGATAGGCATCCGTGTATCGTATAGAGTTGGGCGTGATCGCCCAACTCTGTCGGTAGAATCTTATGGATCCCATCCATAACGAGTGCTTTTAGCCCCTGTTGACACGCCATCTGTAATTCCAATTTCTTTCAAGTGTTTGCTATTTTAAAGTCTTTTTTCATCATAAGTCTACGTAGTACCCGATTTTGATGTTGGTGATACAGGAATACTTTAATAGCTGAGTTTGAAAAGAACCATAGAAAGCAGGTAAGAAAGATATGTGTGCTGTCATAACTACTCACTTTCACTGTCTGGCTTGAGAAGTAGATGTGATATGTCGGCGCCAATTCTTGGAGGAACTTGGTACCATTTTCATATGCGTATCTTTTTTCGGGTATAAAGTTCCAGGTAGCGGCATGAGTGACATGGGAAGCCTTTGCTTTAAAGCAATACAAACTCGATTGAATCCAGTTTTGCAAACACCTATCCTGACTGTTCAATACTTTTTCTTCGGGTGGCCCTTTTTTATAAAAATGTGTCACGACCTCATCGCTCGAATGAGGTTCATTCATAGCCGAATGCAATGCATTCTCCAAAGCCTCTATTATCGGAATAGAAGCCAATTCTGGAAGCTGTCGAATGTTGTGGCACGCTTCGAACATTGAGACTTCGTTTACCAGTTTGTCGAGATAATCTATTAGGGTTGTCACCCTAAGATTATTCACAAAGACATTGTTTTTGAGATCTACCTCATACATGATGCGATTTGCCCTGTCGGCGGAGGCATTGATAACTTTGCACACATGGTGCAAACAGGGGTCATCAAGAATCTCATTGTCTGCTACCTGAAATATTTGGGCTCAGGGAGGAGAGGCTAAAAATCGTTCTTGTATTAATCTCCATACTTAGACCAGTTTTAACATCCACACACTTCAGGCACTTTTGGCGTAGATTTGAACGTGAATTGAGCATAAGTGATGACATACTTACCCAAATGGTCACGTGGTGTTTGGTTCTTTTACATTCGCGACATGCGAATACTTCATAATTTTTGTTCCTTCGTTGGAGTATGGAGATATATGCCGTTTTTGTGCCAGGAAGTGTAACGGATGACCTTGTTTCCGCCTTTTTGACTTTGTTGGCGTTCACCAAGGAACCGCTGTGACGCTGCGGTTGCTTTCTGTTCGGTCATTAATAAAGAATGAGTATCACTGATTTAAAATGGTTGATAAGGACGGAAAACATCAACGTGCAAGAGTTGGATCACATCTAGCATGTTGAAACAAAGTATTTTTATCGATTACTAGTCATTGGTCAGAGGTCGTCATGACCTTAATCGGAAATCTCAGGAAAAGTTGTGCATTTTCTTCTCAGAACGAATCGTAGGTGTTTTGCACTCAATAATTATAAGTGATCAAAGGGTACATCATGTGGTGGGGAAAAACTCATGAGAACGCCTCTATTCGTAGCAGGAATTACAGTGTTCTCGAAAAATAGTGATCACACATGCTGTGCATTGTAGAGCGATTCTCGGAAATGGAATCAGATTTATACATTTTAGCTTTGTCTTACCCTCATCAACCGGGCTGGTGACGTTTCAAATGCCTTTATTCGTGAGGATGCGAACGAAGCATTGGAAAAGGTTGTGAAGCTTCAGCTGGGAAGGCCCTTCATTCTATTATTACTGCTGGATCCAAGTAAGATTACCTGTTTCAAATTACTACTTACTAGTTTTAAATTTTCTGTTGCGAAATATCTGCTGACAAAACCATACATTCCATTCCTGCTTCATGGGCAATATTCCAGATCCAAAAACAATACAATCCGAGCGTCTTGCGCTGGGTTTCTTGGCACTTTGGTGTCACGGATGGGGGTCTCGGCTCTACTGAACACCCCTGATCATCTATCAAAGATCGTCCCTCACCTGATTGCCTTCTGCAAGGATGCGAATCCACAGTGCGAATGTAGGAAACAAACACTGTTGAACTTGAGTCAGGTAACCGAACCGTTTTTCATTCGCTTTGCGCTGTCCTCTGTCAAGCTAAATTTGGTCTTTTGTAATTCCACTTCACATCTTTGTCCTTTGTCCTTTTGATATTTTCAGGCAAACATTTGCAAAACTTTCTGTTCAGGATCCTGGCTTCGATAAGCAGTTGAAGAAAAGTATTGGCGATTCAGAACTCTTTGGACAGTACGAGTACCTCTCTGGGTGCATCACCATCACGCAGTGGAAGTATACGAAAAGCCGTGCAGCGAAAATGACCCGACTTTTCGGTTAGATCTCGATGAGATCAAAGCTGATCTTACTGCGGCAGGGTGAGTAATAAACTGTCGGGTAGACTCTTCTGCAAATTTGAGATTATCAATACAATTTTTTAGCTGAAAAGGCGTATTGATGGACTCAAACGATTCCTAGAAATGACTGTAATGGCTCCCAAAGCCATCGCTAGCGATACTAAAGTATGGTGATATGGTTTTGGATGAGGGCAGTATGAAGCAACTCTTTATCTGCAGCTGATGAAGGCCTTCATTGGTCGACTGAATGACATCAACAGCAAAGTTTCCTTAGAGAGGCTCGATACCTATTTAGCCTCTCTTGGTATTCTTAGCAAGTGAGTTGAAGCTTCCCTCAGCTTTTTATCAATAGAATGATGACTTTCATGTGCGTGCTTCTTCTAGGATGTACTCGGCTGAGTCCCATCTCAAAGCTGTATTGAATCAACTGGTACTTGGTCTGATGTCCCAGTTATCCAGTAAAATTGAAGAGCATCGCACTACAGCTTTTACTCTATTTTTACGATTTAGTGCCCTTACTATTAGTGCAACCCTAACGTAAGTACTTTATGTCTTCGATGCTTTTCCTATAATACGGCTAAATCGATTTTCTTTGGTAAATTCCTAGTCTTTTTGTGATAACTTTTTAATCTAAGTCTGAATTATTTATTTGACAAATAAGTGATGTACAATAAATGAACTTTTATACTCGTAAGCTTTGCATCTTGAGACTTGAGTGATAGACACGAATTAAGCCATTTATCTTCCACAATGAGCTAACGTGGAAACCACAAATTCTCGCGACAGTGGCGTATTCGAAAATGGCGATGAGCTCGTATGCTGAAATTTGCATGCCCTTATTGTTGTTTTCTTCAGAAAAAATCTTTGAACGAAAAAATCATGGAAAATAGGTATCATCCTAGCAGTTGAAAAAATATAGAAGAACTCTGTTAATGTACAAACTCAGTATTACAAAATCAAGCATTCTATATATTACTCTAGACATATTCCGAAGTTGAATTTTGGCAGAAACATTTAATCTAGAATATCTACATTTCATAACATTACTACATTCGTATTAGAGTTTAAGTAAAACGATAGCTTGTGCACATTTGGGATTGGTCATTGATTCGGAAATAGTGGTTCGAAAATCTTCAAAAAATGGATTGTCAAGAAAACTTTGGAACTGCCGTACAGACAGAAAAAGGAAACTCACTTGTTGGCAAGCAATAGACATTGTAGAGAATAAAGAAAATAAGAATGATAGGAATGGTCAACGTCACCGATGCCAAAAAGATCACTTGCAACTTCTTTCTCTGCGATTCCTAATAAAAAGTTAAAATCAGATGAATCGCGAAAGAGGAGATGTATGAATGGAAGTTTTCTTCCATAGAACGTGTCATTGTCGAACAAATGAGAACGGTATTCAGAATGACGACTCTATTTTACATTCCAAATCTGCGCCCTATGCATAAATTTTATGAAGTGAGTAATTTCGAAGGGAGTTTTCAATGGGCAAGAGTAATCAGTCTATAAAACAGTCTTTATTAACATGAAAGTGTGTTCGTTAATTTAGCAGTTCTTACCTGTTTAGAACTATGGTATGTGAGCAAGCACATCGAAATAAAGTATAGATAAGATGCAGCAGCAAAAAAAGCGAAGAGGAGGACGTGCACATCTGAAAGTACCAGTTTTTCCAAAGCAGAGGGAAGTAAGAGATTCGCAGTTGGAGTCGCAAAGCTAACTGAAAAAAAAATGGTGGTACAAAATTTTTTAAAGCTTTCTTGAAACCTGCATTACTACCGAAAATGGCTATAAAGTTTGCACCTATAGGTCCTTACCTCCACTTTCACGTTTTCCAACGACAGAAAGGAGGCTGAGAAATACTACGTCACCCAATTCACAGCAACCAATGTTTTTCTAGGTAATGAATACGCGATTTTGTGTCCCTCGGAAATTCGTGCCCTGCAAGAGGACCTTGGATATTATTTTTAAGTACCTAGTTAGAGTTTGAGAGAACATTACATACATTATCCTTCATATCTACTATCAGAATGCAAATTATCAACTAGCAGTTTCAAACACGGAGGAAACAATAGCTGAATTTTTCTTGTTTTACATATACTTTATGAATTAAATGCATTCATCGCAGCTTGCAGCAATTTCGCTAGAGGGTTGTAAATCTATACAAGATCTATATCGAATTCAACTACATACTGTCAAGTCTCTCGATAGGGATGAGCTGAACTGGAAAAAAAATGATTCTAGGCAGTATGTCCAATGGTGCAAAAAAACCCCCCAAAAAACTACCTTATAGAATTCTTTGGGCAAGCAGAAAGTAGATATCTTAACGATAACTCAACGCAAAAATATTTGATTAGGCAGAACAGTGCCACTTATACGTTAAAAGCGAAAAAATGTCTGATAATATACGTGAAATACTTGGTAAGACTATCGAAAACATACGAAAAAACGGCAGATGGAAATGCAATCATAATACACCTTTCTCAAAATTTCCGTATAGTCTGATGTATCACCAATCAAAACAATCGAGACATTGAAAACACCATCAAAGTCTAAACAGCAAATATATTCTAGAGCCAAAACTTACAGAAGAGCAATAACAATCGAAGGAGTGAAAACATCTAACTGGCAGTATCAGCTTGATACGGCAGGCATAGTCTGAAAGGAAACAGTGCTTGTTTTCCTTCTTCCTTTGCGAAACGAGTCATGACTCACAGTCTGCACGAAAGTTTTGTCGCGAAGCGTTGAAAACAGAATGGAATATTCCATCGCTTTATACAAAATCGCCGTGCGCGGTGTAAGTCATGACGAGTGGTCAGGGGCCAGTGGGGCCAGTGCCTAATCTCCACTACAGACACGCTCTAATCAGGTCAGCGATGAGCCCTTTAATAGCATCTCAGTCGTCCTGGTTAGCATCGCGTTGCGACGTCGCTTCGGAGTTTTGCCGCGCAGACTGTGAGTCATGACCCGTTACCATACCTCTGCTCTCTTGATAATTCCTCTGACTATTGACTATCCGTAGATCAAAATGATTCTTATGTGTACAGGTAGATTTTTTGGTTCTGTTTTCACTAGGGCTTGTATAAATATTGAAAGTACAGTGTTTTATCATCAATCTAACTTCTTTTAATTGATGAAGAAGTCGCAATGCGCGTTTGTTACACTGACAATCGGCTCCTGTCACAATATCCAAATAATATCAAATTTTTCTTTTCACTCATTTGATGTCATCATCCTTTTACTCGATAAAATAATTTTTCTTTCATAAGCAAGACTATATCGTAAGCTCACTTTCAGCCTAAAAGCACACAGTCGTTCAAACGCAAGTATGTGTTTGCAACTTATACTCCACCAACTTATAGAATTGGGGAGATTAAACGAGTAAGCTAATTAGAGTCGAGCTGGTTTTAGTCGCATCGATTTCCTGACAGAATCCTTTCGAGGTACAGCCTGATTTGCTAGCCCGCAATTGCGAAAAAAGAACATAGCCACTGCTGGTAATGTAAAGGTGTAAAGTCATTATATCTTCTCAAGATTTGTCAATCCCAAAATATCATCCAATTGTGAAGAATGATATTTGTTTTACAAAATCTTTCGTATTTTCGCAGATGGCCGGTCTTTTGCAAAAAAAATCGATCTCTTACTCAACTGTGTTTTTGACGGACAGCTTTTCTACAATCTCACATCAAAGTATGGATCAATTTGCTAATTACTTAGCGCTGAAAAGTCGCAATAAATGTTCCTGAGTGATCTGGTGAGGTTTTGCTATAGTCACACAGGTTTTGCTAGCATATTCCGGTAATCTTAACATATGTGAATTGGTGGACTGTATATCTATTTTGTAAATGAGGATGAAGAAAATAAAGGGCCAGAAAGTGAAAGAATGGCAGAGACGATCGATCGGACAGCGATATCCTTCGTAACACAAGCTTTAAAAATGAAACGCACGTGAAGGGTGGTGGTGACAGCAAGAACAAGGCAACAAGACTACAACCTTGCGCTTATAATACCTAGAAAAATCGCTAAAAAATTCCAACCGGTAAAAATACTGAGTTTGTGACTACGACCTAATAATAGAATCATTTAGAACCTAGCCAGAATACACAAAGCACAAAAATAGCGGAAGAAAGTTGTGAAGATCTGAGTAAAAAAACAATTCAAAGGTCAATTGTAATCTGTATGCAAGTATATCAAGTTAATCGTCGTTGTTTGTTACAATTGTTCATGTATGATACAATCGCACTACGAGTATGTTGCCAACACAGTTATTACGTAGCAATGAAAGATTATTCTTATTTCATTCGTAAGAGTTGTTACCAGGGTTGAGCGTGGGGTCAGGCGCGCCCGACCTGGGGGATCGTATTGAGGGTTAGACTGAGGGGGGGGGGATCGTAATTAAGAATCGAATCTGTTAAGTTGGAAAGATACTGCAAACGTGAAGAAGAAATGCGTTAGTCCGGTGGATATCGCGATCACATGAAGGAGTGACGGTTATAAACAGCGCACTGATTTCCACAATGGAAGTTTCAGACAAAATTCAAATCTTCATCTCCTTTACCTTGACATATGAGGTCGACAAGGAAGCTTGCTGTGCGAAATGAATATCATTTTCATAATCAACATGTCAAATTACCTCTATGCGCTCTACAAACCATCACCTACTGCAGTTTCTAGTGTTTCTCAAAGTCTAAAAAGCGTGATTTTCAAGCGTGATCAACTTGGTTGCAGAAGTGAGAAAAGTCAGCTTTGTATACTCATAACAAAGTAATGTTCTCTACAAGTCTATGCTACAAATCGAGCTTCATATCGCTTTTAAACAGTGAAGTAAAAAGTGCTGCCAAAATTCTAAACGGCGCGTTTTTCACGTTGAGTGCTTCACTCCTCGGATTAGCACAAGGCCGAAACAACTCAAATCAAGCTCAAACACTCACTGTGGAATCTTCGAGGGTTGAGCTAGCTTATCAAATAAAACTTGGGTAGAAAAGCATTTTCGGAAATAAAGTTAATGGGGTCAGGCGCAACCCCTGAGAAAGTCAGGCGGCCTGCGCTTTTGAGAGGTTGCGCCTGACCCTCTTAACTTGCCTTCAAAATTCAGAAATCGCCCCTTGTATTGAGCGCAAAGCCTCTTCTTGCTATATTGAAAATTTGAAGCCAAACACTCCACCCCTGTGAAAATTATAGCTCTGAAAAAAGGACTATCCAGATCTAAAACTTGCCGTCAAGTTGCGTGTGGTTGTGCAATCGCAGAAAGTCGGGCCTACGGACTTTCAGAAACTAGAAACCTGTAGTGAAGGCTGGTCTTCTTTAAAATATAACACCCTAAGGAGTTGGAGGTGAAGCGGAGGGTCGTTTAGGGGCTCTCACAGGGGGGAGGGTCGTTTTTGAAGGGCTTCTGCCTGATCTCTTGCTCAACCGTGGTTGTTACCTACGCTATAGTAGTTTTCAAGTTAGAAAGTTAATATGGAATCAAAGTCCACCTGAAGTTATCTGAAGTCTGTGCATGAGATGAAGAGATAAATCTACGGAACAAAATTGGAGAAGCAACTGGAAGAGAACGTAGTGAGTATTCCATTGAAATAAGCTACCGTACGGTTCATCGTATATTTTGATAACTCAAGAAGTCTTGGGTCCTAATTCAATGATTTCTATACTAAATCTCATTGCTTCGTTGCTGTGGTGTCGACTGTAACAGCATAAAAAAATCTTCATTATCAAAGTGATTTTTGTTACACAAAAAAACAAAAAAAAAATGGCAGAATAATTAGAAAGGTTAGTTCTACATGCTTAAATGCTTAAACACCCAGGTTTTCTGCCGCATAGTAAGTGCCACCCTTATCTTGCAAATGGCCTAAAAAGTTGAAACATAGGAACGGCAGGAAGGTTGTCAGAAAACAAACTAAACTCTTCCAACAAGAATCGTGCTGTACTTAGCGCATGAGCTATGATGCTGTAAGGTGAACGCGCCTTTCAGCTTTTTTCTCAAAACCTAAAATCCAGTTTTCTTACGCACATCCTATAGCGCGAAAAGTGTTACTCTATTAACGTTCGTTTGCCTTTTCGTTTGCAATGCTGGTACTAATTAAAGTGGTGATGAACTTTATGTAAGCGTGTAATGGCCGCATGTTTCTGCACGAGAATCAGCAATGAAGTCCCTTTTCTGCAGGCAGGAAATGCATGCCTGTCGCGCTCGACCTCTTCCATTTTATTCTTAAGCACCGTTCAGACTGCACCGGTACCCGCCGAACCCGTGATACCCCGTAGCGTTACTTGCAACTGATATGTACATTTCACATCGCGCGTATTGTCCAGGCATCCACTAATTCTCACATCTGGCAGGTTTCAGGGGTTTCGACGAGTGTAGACGAGTTCCGGTAGGTTCGGACGCGTACCGGCGCGGTCTGGACGATGCCTTAGAATTGAGGATGCAACGACGGCGGGCGAGCGGCGGGTCATAAGCATTGCAAATCTTATATACAAAGCTGAATGTCTGTCTGTCTGTATTTTGTGATGTCTGTATGTCTGTCTGTATGTACGTACTCAGACAATCGATCGGACCCCTCCGCCGGACAGTCGAAATCTGCCAGAGTCGCGCCGGACCCAGTTGACCAATGAGAGCGGGGCGATTGGGCGGTCCCTTCTTGTAGGTCGCGGTGACATCACCGGCAGGCGAGTGGGACCCTTCTCCGGATCTGCTGCAAAAGTACGCCATTTCTGCTCCGGAGGTACGCCAGATTTGGCAGAGCCGCGGCGGAGAAATTTGATCGCCGCGAGTCCGCCAGATTTGGACGAGCTGCGGAGCAGAAAATCGGAGGGGTCCGGAGCACAAATGGGAGGTCTCCGGAGCACAAATGAGAGGTCTCAGGAGCAGAAAATTTGAGGTCTCCGGAGCAGAAAATGGGAGGCCTCCGGAGCAGAAAATGGGAGGTTTCCGGAGCAGAAAATGGGAGGTCTCCGGAGTAGAAAATGGGAGGTCTCCGGAGCGCAAATGGGAGCTTTCCGGAGCATAAAATGGAAGGGCTTCGGAGCACAAAATGGGAGGCTCCGGAGCACAAAATGAGAGGGCTCCGGAGCAGAAATGAGTGGTCTCCGGCGCACAAAATCGGGGGGCTCCGGAGCATGAGTGGCAGACACCCCGCTGGGGAAACCCCGCGGCCCTGCCATTTCTCCGCCGGAGGGGTCCGATCCGCTGTCTGAGTATGTTCCGAATAGAAAATTCCATTTCTGAACCGATCCGGACCAAACTTGATACACTTCGGGGCGGAACGGTGTCGTAGGCTACTTTTCGTTATCGATCGATATCGGTTTTACCAATTTTTATCGATTCTTTGCAAGGTTCGACCTATGGGGCTGGAAGTTGGCACAGGGGTAATCGAGCATGCTGATTACGAGTACAGTATTAGTTTGGCGCTACGGCTATCCGGGCCCAAAATTTTTTTTGTCGTAGAGCTTGCTCAAACTTCGCCTATGAGGGTTATCTTACATGCTGATTGCAGATATCACATTTTCTCTTCAAAAGGTTTCACCGTGTGGTTCCATAGGTGTAGGAGGAAGTCAAAATCATGAATTGGGCTGGAATTTGGTCTAGAGGGCTTATTTGACATGCTGATCACAAATGTCATACTCACTCTGCATATTGGGACCTTTTCATAGAATTATGGTGGTTAATTATGGTATGGCATCGTAAACATAGATTTGCTCTACACTTTGTTTACGGTGGTCATTTGGCGCGCTGAACATGAATATCATGCTAATTTCGCAGGATAACGCCA